TATCGGTTCTGTGCTGATATCGGCCGACCGGCTCAACACGTTGTACGTGTGAGTGCTGATAGGCTATGGCATATAAGCCATTAAGAAGGCGAGGGCAAGCGGGGTCTCGGTAGTGTAAGGGATAAGAGCACGGTCCCCGGAAAGGACAAGTACGGGTTCATGTCCCGTCCGAGACTGGAGTTTTGCCCACAAATCGCCAACCTTGTGAGATAGCACGAAGTGGCCCGTACACAATTCTTCTACAGTTCTGTTTCCCCACTATAGTCATAGGGGAAATTCGCACATGCCCTGCATTTCAGCGCGGTACCCTGTCCCATGGTACCTCATGAAAGTCTTATAGAACTCACAGTGCTTTACTCTCTTCCTCATGCGGACTTTGTGACCGACTAGCGCGATGGCATAAGTAGAAATTGGCCTCCCTCGGACTAAAATCCGTGAATCTGTAATGGTTTCTGTGATATTGGCTTATCATTCGACAAACTGCGATATCGTGGATATAAGGGTGTTTAAACATCAATTAGGCGGAGGTAGTGTAGTGGTAAGTGACGTACTATCACACACGCATGGTCACGGATCCAAATCCTGGATCGATATCCGCCCAGGCCAACTAGTTCCTCCGTCCCTCCTCGGTCGGCTAATTGGTGCCAGGCTCTACTGGTACAAAAGCACTGATTTCTTCATTAGATGGCCATCACAAGTCTTTATATAGGCCACATACGCATTCATTACGCCACTAGGATTCAATGTGGTGGTGGAGAGAAGGGGATGGTGGGCATCTTCACGACCTTCGTTCCATATCGTTGGCAATCTTTTGATGCCAGCGCAACTGCTATTCTTCATGGAACGTATTAACACACAGATCTCTCAAGGATTCGAGATTCTGGTTCTCGCTCAAGCATATCTAGGAAAAGTGAGCTTGCTTTTTTCCTATTTGGGAATGCAATCCAACACTCGAAATTCCTGTGCTCCCCAGCGAATTTCCTGCTCCACGGCGTTGACTGCGACGCAGCCGCTGTTTTAAAGGTTCGCTCAAGGTGTTCGTGGGAAAGTGGGCACCTGCATCCAAAGTTTTAACTTTTGTGTTTTCAATTTCGATTCTTCATCAACGAGTGTTCACCATCGATATGGCTACCGCACAGGTTACTTCGGGTGTCTTGAAGCCTTCAATTTTGATATTTCTCATAAAATACCCAATAGTTTTGTTCGGTTTCAGACTAATGCTGAAGTTATATCTTCTATGGAACGGCAGTATGCCGAGCAGAAGGCGAAGTTCGAGAAATGGAAAATTGATAACAGGTGATTTTCTCTGGAATTTCTATATGAGATTGCTGTCGGTACTGGATGGTACAAAGAAAGAAAAGAAAGAAAGTCCATAGAAAGCTTGGAACTAGAATCAAATCACTAAATGCTGACTGATTTTGAGCGATTCGATTCAGTTTTTCGCTAGATTGTTTGAGCCTTTTTCGCAAAAATCAATTCTAATTGGAAAGCTATATACTCGATTAGTCCAAGGTGTTTGTTTGACGAAATTCAAATTAATCGCATAGAAATCAAATTTCAGTCGGCAAATTGGAACTGAATCCTACAATAAGTATGTGCAGCAGTTTCTTCAATGGGAAAAGGAGGTATTCGAAAAGTGAGTAAAATTTTATTCACCTTTTTCTTCGAAACGCCAAGTTCAGTAAAGTTACGTGGTCATGTTTCAGAAAAGCCAAAGTCGCTGCACTTGTTCAGTCAGAAGCGGCAATCGCCGCAGGGCCAGCGAATGTTGATTCGATTCTTGGTAACACGGTCTTCTTTCTTTTTCTCTCTTATAATTCACTCAGTTCCGAAAGCATGGTTAGTGTGAGTCCCCAAGCCTTCTATCAATTTAGGCCAATTGCTAGATGACGTTCTTCCTATGGAGTTTTTGATGGCCCTTGTGACTGTTCACATGAAGGATAACACATTTCTTCCTTGTGTGATAGAAAACTTCAGAAAAGCTCAAAGTGGGTTTTCAAGTTGTGCAAATTGCTTTCATGTTTCAAGTTTTAACTGACGATTACTGTTTCCAACATTACTCCCAGTTAGGCATAAGTATGTGGCACAGATTCATCGAATATTTGAGCCAGCCTTCCCGCTGTACGCTTCTTTTCGTTTTTCCAGAATTACGACTACCGCTTGCTAAACGTCATCTCTGCGGATTGCTTTAAACTGTAGCCAGTAGTCAGCAGCCGACGAAAATTTTATGCAATAGTCCCCTAAACTTTTTCGTTTCAGCTGGTGAGTTGGATCAATCGAAGCTTCTGGTTTCTGCAGCGCAGTACCACCCTGCCGTTGGTGAGTAGTCGGTTTCTTACTTTCGTTTGCTTGCTATTCTGAATGTTGTGCTTCTTTCTCACGGCAATTATATTAGGATGCGAGGGGGGCCCAGAAATTTACCGCAGTACTGCAGTTGTATTGTTTTCGCGTCTACTTGTTATATTGGCTTTATGCTTTGTAAAAGGCTGAGTGCACTCCGAGGAAGAAGTTCAAACCGTACACAAAGAGGCTTCTGTAGAGTTGTTTTCGATGCGAGCTTGTCATCAGCCTTTGATAGAGGCTTTTTTCTTCTAATGCTCGCGTGCAAAAGCAATCCGAAATTTTCGTGATGGGTTTGGCGTCCGAAATTTCTGAACCAGCTGGATCTATAATCTCTTGCTCCGATAAGAGTGAACAGCCAGTCCTAGTCGATCGCATTATGAGAGCAGCCTAGCACATTACATTACAAAGCTGAACATGGCTTTTTTTGTGACGAAGGTGTGTTCCTTTGAATAAATTTTTATTTGTAGCCCCAACGCCACAATATTATCATCCTGTTGGAACCGCATCGCACACAGGATTGACACTGCATACAGTACCTAACACAGCAGTGACGTGGGCCACAACTGCTGCACCGGCGGGTCCTAAATATAGGTCAGTAAAGTCTACTATAATTTGTCTCTAGTTTATTCATGATATTATGATTTTTTTGATGTTCTCATAGTTGTTCCCCAAGCGGTAAATATTGCTATTTACCATTCGGCGCCTCTTCCACAGCTGTGGTCGGGGTACCAACCAGGTCTCGTTCGAGTTTATTCNAATTTTTTTATTTGTAGCCCCAACGCCACAATATTATCATCCTGTTGGAACCGCATCGCACACAGGATTGACACTGCATACAGTACCTAACACAGCAGTGACGTGGGCCACAACTGCTGCACCGGCGGGTCCTAAATATAGGTCAGTAAAGTCTACTATAATTTGTCTCTAGTTAGTTAATGATAAATTGATGATTTTGATGTTCTCATAGTTGTTCCCCAACCGGTAATATTGTTATTTACCATTCGGCGCCTCTTCCACAGCTGTGGTCGGGGTACCAACCAGGTCTCGTTCGAGTTTATTCGAATCTACATCTCTTCAAGATCTGTAAAGTAGTGTAGAACGGTTATCGGTATACCTTTCCTTTCAGACCACCATCTCCTGTTCGTGACTACAAGAACCCTGTGGCAAGCATGCCATTCCGAGATTTCAGCCAATGATGTGATTTCCTTCACAAAATTTCTAGCAAGGATTAGTTATACATTGTTGTTTTTTGTTGTAAATATTGTAAATTGCTTTGGTTGTATGCTGCATTTGTGTGGCTGGCACTTTATTTCTCGGCTCTCCTTTCAAAGTCTAATATTGGTTCGTTTGTAAAATATTCGGTTCTTGGATTGGATTCTGCTTTTGTTCACGGAATAAATAACTTGGAAGAAACGTGAGCTCAAACTTCTAGAATTCGGAATCATCAAAGAAAAGGAACATTTATGTTTTTAATGTCAGAGGCGGTTTGAATCAATTAGGGTGTTATTTCATTTATTTCATTCCCGTTTTCCAGTTCCTTATGGATCATTGCCTTTATTTCGATGTCTTCTGTCAACAGAAACATGGCATTTCTTATCTCTTCCTTTCAGCAACGGTTAGATGGGGATCATTTCGGTGTTAACTCCTTCAACCAGCTTGTCTATGCATATAGTCTCAGGAGATTGTACCCATTCGAATAAATGGAAGACCGATGTGCAGAATCGAGCTAGTTTAGTTCAAATATTCCTGAATCTCTACTGGAGTCGACATTCATGCAGGTTTACACACCTCTGTGCGTATGGGAGGGGGGAGAATGTGGCAGGCGAATGAGGTCTCTTATCTCAAGCTATCAGTCTTTTGTGTGGAGATGCATAAATATATCCCCCATACGCTTGTGGTTAGCTCATTTTTTACTTTGGATCATATACCGAATGGTGGAGCCACATGGAAGCGTTAAAAAAGCGTATGTTTTTGCGGTTTTCATGATTGAGTAAGGAAGAACTTAGCTCTGTTGACTAAATTAAATCTGATTAAATATTACAATAGGATTCTTTTCAGTTCCCATGGAAAAGGAGGAGTCAGTACCGATAATGCGAAAAATGTGAAAAAAGGCACTAAACCATATCATAAAGGCACGATTAAAGTGAGTAACATAAGGGAGCTGAACTTTGAAATATTTCTTACTTCTAAATCGTACAAAAGAAGACAGAAGCATGTTTAGATGACAAGCTCGACGGATGCATCAAAAGATTCTACGAAAAACAAGCATGGTACAAAAACGCCAAATTATGCGTACATCTTTGAAGTTTTCAATCATAGACAAATCTCAAGTAATTACAGTGAAATGCGTGAAGAAGAACACTGGTGGAACCCTCCCAGTCCAGGGGTCTGGTACCTTCTTCCCGAATGTCGCGTCGCGCTCGCCGCATCCGATCGCGCGCTATGAAGGGATAGCATCGAACTCCCCGCGGAAGGATACCGTAGTCGCCGCGCAGCAGCCGCGACCGCGGGCCGTTGATAATCAGGGAGAAATAGCGCCGCCCCCAGTCAAGGGTTTCACTGCGAAGTCACAACCAGGTTATGTGACCAGTAGCAACTCACCAATGTCGACGGGCGGCTCCTCAAAGCCTCTCACAAAACTCCAAACAACCAAGATGCACGATGTCCAAACCCGACCTCATGCAGAAAGGCCGCCATCTCATCTTCAGAGACCAGAGAAGACCAGGAAACCAGAAAAGTCTCCGTAAGTGTGGATACAAGTATTCGACGCTTTGTGAAAATAACACTCTCTTGTCCCATATCAACCGGGAGTTACCCTCTCGTCAGAACTTCTACTCTCATGCTTACTTCGAAGCAACAATGATAATTTGCGTAAGATCAATAACAGCTATGCATGAAATGTAATCTACGAGTGGTCGAGGAACTTAGGCCTGTGGAGGATGGTATCCATGATATCCACACAATTGATAACAGATCCGCCCATTGACGAGCAGGTGGTACAGGAAGCCAACTGGTGGGTGCCATTGCTGCTGCCGTTGTCTTGCCGAAACGGACAAGGATCTTTGTTTACCAAAAGATTTTTTTCGAAAAGCTGGATGAGACGGAGTGAAAGCCTCTGCATAGGTTTCAAGACTGTTGCCAGCGAAAATTTCTGAAGGAATCAGACGGGGAAGCTGTTTCTGCGTGTTCTCCCACTCGCGAAAGAAAAGCGTGTCTGCTTGTTGTCCGTACACTCCTCCATGCTCTCTCGTCGAAAGCCAGTCGAAAATGGATCGTAGAGGAAGGTCTCTATGATATTAGAGAGGTTCACGATCAACCAGGTTGAATAAGCCTTCTCCAACCAAGCGAGCACGTAGGGTGGTGCAGGTGGTGTGCACCTTGCAGTCCCGTATATCGTTTATTTGTTGTGTTCACCGTTTGGCAAGAAAACTTATGGGCATCGTCTCTGTGAGCTCGTTTTTTAATTCACATTTTTCAGGTTACTGACTGCTGGTAAGCCCTCTGATCACGGGAAGAAGGCTGTTCCTGAATTGGAAAATGACAAGGAAGCTCTATCAAGTGACACCGATGGAAGCGTTGAAAAGTCTGTCGTAGGAAGGTACTGCCAGAAATATCATTTGGTAACATGAGACCACTCTTGAAATATCGCGAAGCCAACATCTAATTGCGGTTTAGGAAGGCAAAATGATTAGTGGGAGAAAAGTCAGTGCTCTAAGGTCAAGCTCGTTGTTGTAGAGTTTTAGAGTAGGCCGAATGATGTGATGGCAGAATGTCCAGATGCGAAAATCTTAGCCACATCATGCACAGCTCAAAGATACTTCTATTGAAAACTAATACTTCAAACTACTACCTTGAGAAAAAAAGCAATGGGTAAAAGATGCCGTGGTAGTGAATTGATTGGTGCCGGAATGGCGAGGGTTCAATTAATTCGGATTTCTCAATATGATCCGTTTAGTATAATCCACGCAATAGACGACAGCGGATCTAAAAGTTTGCGTGAGTGTTGATTCATAATTTCTTTTCCAACTTCAACTTCCTACGAGCTGCTGAGAGGTTTTCAAAGTGCGATGCCCTCACTCTACATTCCTTATATACCTAGACATTGTTGGCCCCCTCAAATTCGATAAGTCTGCTTCAGAATGTCTCAAAGACATCAGTGAGAAAGCTGTGCGGAGAGTGAAAATGTTTGTGAGCCAACCGATCAAGGAGCATACATTGCAATGCTTCATCAGTAAAGTGCAAGCGAAAAAAGAAGCCAAAGAGTCTGGAAGAATTGCGGTTAGTTCTAGAAATTTCTGATTTTCGAATTCCTGGGCCTATTTCTTCAGCAGAACTGTGAAGTGAAACGAGGTGACGACGTGTTCCCCCAGCCACTGCAACGACAGAAAAGCAGAGAAGTACGGTTCCTTTTCACTATTGGCTGGAAACCGTCACTGGCTAAAAGACTTGCTTTTCAGATTGTCAAGAATCAGAAAGAGACATTCAGTCTGCTGAGGGTAAATTCCTATTCGACCAGGTCTTCATAGGAAAGAGTAGTCGAACGAAACTTTCAGAGTATTACCCTTTCACCTTCTATGTTTTCTGGAGGTAGTCTGCCAAGTGGATGTAGACCGGTATTGGGCAATAAGGACAACAATGGAAAGCTCATGGATAATGGGGAACCATTCTGGACGAAACAACAAAGACCGACAATTTTCGATTTGGTAATTACTTTGCTTGAAGGGCGTCTCGGCTTCTTTACTGTGCCTGAAGCATTTGTCACTAAGCATATGATGAGGTGTTCAAAGAAAGGTGGCATTGAGAGGTTCCGCAAGTATGGTGGATAAAGCCCTCTCGTGATCTGATTCAATGAAGCTCTGGTGGCTCCTTGAGCATGGGCTCCCTTTCCACACCTACTCTAAACCGCAGAAAGTGGGTGAATCACAAGAATTCCGTCACGTCATTTCAACACCGCTATACCAAGCTACATTAACTATTACGACTATTCCTGAACTCTTCTTTAAATTACGATTATTCTCCATATTGGCTCCCCCNAAAGCCCTCTCGTGATCTGATTCAATCAAGCTCTGGTGGCTCCTTGAGCATGGGCTCCCTTTCCACACCTACTCTCAACCGCAGAAAGTGGGTGAATCAGAAGAATTCCGTCACGTCATTTCAACACCGCTATACCAAGCTACATTAACTATTACGACTATTCCTGAACTCTTCTTTAAATTACGATTATTCTCCATATCGGCTCCCCCACTTTCAAACCAACACCTGGATAAATGGTTGCAGACACACTATGTTGGTGTCTTGTAGTTTTTGTGAGCTCTGGGTTAGCAAATCATATATAAGAGCAAGAGTGAGAGCAAATCTACCAAACCTACTGACAGGCGTATAGTTTCCCTCACTAAAGTAGGGTAGTTATCGTTTGAAAATGTTTTGCAAGGACCGGTGAAGAGACAGGCGTACCGGCGCAGCTCTAAGCACTCATTGGCTGGATCAATAGATGGTTACTGAGAACCATGACAATATGATTTACAGTAGTGACTCAGATAGAAGTAACACTGAGTTTTCAGGATGACAGCACCGAAGACGACCTTGAGTTAAACGCTGAGGTAGCTCTTGATGTCAGCAAAGGAAAAGTCAAGTTGGTGAACATGCCAGAAACACCGTGAGCACATTCGCTTTTACCTCCCCATTACCATAGATCGCCACAGAATTACTGTGGAGCTAGCTCGTTCGTCCAAACACAGTAACTTGTCTTCTAAAAAGAATTTGATTCTATTGAGCTGACTTCAGAAGGAAGCTAGCTTGAGCTATGGGGGAACACTGATGTATCCGAGATTCTAGGCTCGAACTGAAGATTTCATTTATAGCCAAAGGGAACTCTTCCGATCCTTCATTTCGATGATCCGCTTGAGCCAATGCGCATTCACTGATTTCAGAGTGATTCTTGACCCAATGAACAAACTACGGGTATTGAAGAGGAGGGACAAACTTTTTTATTCGAGAGATGTGCTATTTGGGAATTCAGTCCGCACTATGGTTAACTTATGCAGTGAGTTAGCCGGAATTCCGTGACCTTTCCTACATGAAGCTTCCAACGAAGTCTCTCATACTAGGCAACACTCATCGTAAGAAGAAGCACTCTAAAAAGGTTCGAAGGAGTCCTAGAACGATCACATTCGATGAACCAAAATCCACATATCGTTATCAGGCAAGTATTCAGGCTCTTATTCAGAAGTTTCGTATTATTTCATTGATATACTTGGTAGAAAATGAGAAATATGAAGCTGATTTGGCAAGGGTTGTGACGAGGGGCCCCATACAATGGTACCTGATAGTTCTCCCAAAGTTAGGAGACAATCTCTCGTGAAAGAATCCTTCTTATGGATTACTAGGGCAGATTTTTCTTTTCTCTCTTGTACATCCCCTCCCATCTTGTCCCTTTCTCTCTGCCTCTGGTCCCTTTCTCCTTCTGGAAGCTGCTCAGGGAAGTTTCTGCATCTTTAAGAACTGCGCGATAGGGATAAGTCGATCTTGAAGATGGGAAGTTAAATAGGTCTGTGGGGGTTTGACTTCAGGAACTTTGATACTGCTTTTCTACTTGTGGCCATTATTTCATTAGGGCCAGCTAATCACATTTATACTAGTCAAGTCCCTTCAGTAAGGAATACAGCGAAGTTCATATATGATTAAAGTCTCAAAAATATATTTTTTCAGAGAGATTATGTCAAGTGCTTTAAGAAATTGTCGTTCAAGTCACATTCGTCGACCTCATCTAAGAGTAGTCGGAGAAGAAAGTCAGACACTCCGAAAAGTGGTCGAAGACGGGGATCAGACTCCTCCAGGCGTGGTCGGAACCTCAGCTTAGAGAAAGACAGAACTCGGAAAAAAGAAAGACGAGAAGTGAAAGTCAAATCGGGAGAAAGTTGGCTTCAGAATCCAAGTAGAAGAGATAGTCTGGAAGAAGCGAAGTCACAAAAACCGCGTATGGACGTCGTACAAAACTCTCAACAATCTCAGATCGAAGTCGGACAGCCTCCTCAACAGACTCAAGTTGACGTCGGACAACTTTCTCAACAAACTCAAATCGAAGTCGGACAGCCTTCCCAACAAACTCAAATCGAAGTCGGACAGCCTTCCCAACAAACTCAAATCGAAGTCGGACAGCCTTCTCAACAGGCTCAAGTTGACGTCGGACAACGTTCTCAACAAACTCAAATTATGACTAGTTAAATAAGTACAAAAATGCAACTAACAAATTATTTGCATTAAATAATAAAGTATATTAATACTTCTTTCTTGTACTCAACATTGAATAGTGTTTAGAACCTCATTACATTCGTATAGTACCATATTCTGTCATACAGAAAGCCCAGTATGAAACTGTCATGTAGCAAGGTCACGAAGTTGCTTACCATCAGCAGGTCGGACCTGACCGAGGAGACATCAACACGATCCCCACGTCGAAACCAGACCATTAATATCAAGCATGGGGTAAAGAAGGTGGAAGTTGGGATCTACCTAGGAGGCGTGCCGCTCTCGCCGCACTCGCCCAGGGCGCGAAACCACTGGCGCGTGCGTACCTGTAACCGTGTGAATCGGTTATTAACATTCACTGTAAGGATCTCTTCATGATTAGCCCCTGAAGATGCAGGAATAGACATAGAGAGGATTGAAAGCAGGACGTGGCAGAGGGGAGCATGTTCTGAATGTCCCTATATCACCTACAGCTTCTGGCCAAATCCGTACCGGAGTTGTGGGGTGAGTCCTGAGGTCCCGACACTAATCTGACCAGATTCCGTTGGTGTCAAGGGACGCTAAGCAACAGTCGCTCTTTGCTATGCTTTCAAATGCTGCCAATAAAATCAGATAAAGGTCTCTATTGCTGGCAGCTATGCCTTAGAGGCGATCAAACGCTCTAAAACCTATGTGAGATTTCTAATCAACCTAATTTGAGTGTATAAGTTCCAAGTTGTAAGGGGGAAGTTTCTTTGGCAAGGAAAAACTGATGAGATGTCCATTACTATTCGAAGATTTTATTGCTTTCATGAAAGTACTGGGTATATTGGCCAATAATGAGATATCACAGATTGTTTACCGGAACAAAGCAAGTAACCACAGTAAAGTGAGATCACAAAGACTTGGGCGATTTCGGTTGTGTTTCTTCTGTTCGAGCACTCTTCTTCGGACTGTGTTTGACGCTTAACGGCATTGACTTTTCCCTCTGGATATATGCGGCATAGTTTTCAGCCCACATTTTCTGAAACCACGAATATGCCGGATATTCCTGAAGTGGCCGAAGTGAAGGTCTGGGTTGTCTACCTGTTGTCGCCAAAGCCAAATACTTATGCTTTCTTTTTGGTCCATAACGAAAATTGAACCTTCGTACCGAGTAACAGACAGAAGACGGCTTTTGTTGAAATGCCGTGTTACCATGGCAAAGATCTGAACATCGGTACTTGTGTGGCAGCAAATTGAAAAAAAATCTCTGGTTTGGAGTAAAATTCTTCGAATTCAGTCCAGCTTCAAGGTTATTATCCAAAATAGGTCAACCATTTTGTGGGTATGTTGTTCAAAAAATCGTCCTTCTACGCTCTCAAAGCCGAGAAATATTTTCAATTCTTCACCATCAAAAGACTATTAAAGTGATTTTTGGCTCAAGAATAGACTCCTCCTAACAAACGAAAGGGTAACTAGTACTTTTGTGGGGTTTCCTTGACGACCATAGGCATAAGTTTTGTTTTGAGAAGTGATTTTAATAGTTTACGATAAACGTGAACAGAACCATCCAGTTCCGTCCTACTCATTTATCTTGAGAGATTCGAATCCACGTTGGTCCGGTTTGATGACATATTATGACTTACCTTTATTTGCAACTTTTCATGAAGATAAGCCGTTGATTTATCGATGTTGTCGTCTGAGGCACCATCTGATACAAGACACAACACCTGAAAGGGTTTTTCATATGGAGAGAACGATTCTTCTACTTAGTCCTTCACCCAGGGCAAGATCTGAGTGTCCACGAACGGCTCTACTGCTCATTTATTCCGAGGATCGGATACTGAGCTCATATCTTATACCCTCTCCTCCCCACCCTCCTTCCCAAAGCCTACGATTCCTTTCAGCTATGAGGATCTTCTTACTGGTAACGATAAAGGCACTGGCTTCTATATCAGTTGAACCTTCAGGTTAACCTATGGGTAATGAACGCACTCAAACGCCCTTACTATCCTGGATGGAGGTAGGAAGCGTGCTCGCAATCCAACATGGCTGATCAACGCGAAAACGAAATCTCATCTTTATTCTTGTATTTCAGTGGACTAGAAATTAGTGGCTTGGGAATATCGAAGCCCGACTCACCTGCAACCGATCATGCCGTGGCGTGGGCATTAACTTGTGCTTTCGCTTTTTCATATCCCNCATGTTCTGCTCCCTGTATAGTAGACCAGCTGCAAATGAAAGCGCTTTAGCAAGCATCGTCGCTCCGCCAGTGTACGACATCCGTTCCACGCCTCCTGAAGGCATCCGTTACAAGTATGGGATTTAATTTGGGTGGGATAGGAGAAGAAAAACTAACTTTGTACACTTTTCAGTGAATAATATTTGTCAAAACCGAAAACAACGCTCGGTTGCAAAGCGTACTGTACAACAGCGACACGAGATCTTCCCGGACCAATATCTACATCTTCGAGCACATTGATGATGTTCGTTTTGATCTAAATAAAAGTCGAATAGGCTTTGATTTTGAAGGTTTCACAAGGTTGGCGAATTGTAGGCAACATATCGGACGCGGACGGGATTCGAGCCCGCATTTGTGCTTTCCAGGCAGCGCGCTCTCTCTCCCTTGGTCTACCGAGACCGTCGAGGCCGACCATGCCCTGTTCCCTCCAAATTCTATCCTTAACAAACTTTTATGGGAGAAACAGTGCTTACACGCCTATCATTGAGCCTTGATTGACTGATTGATTGAATGAAATGAAAGAAGAACACGCAGAAGCGCAGTTGACGTATCCTGGGGTAAAAGCCTCTGAAAGGTCTACAAAGGTCGAACTTCTTGTCTGGTCGAAAGCAGCCCAGATAGGGCACAGCGAGGATAGGTTGCATTCATTCAGAAATCACAGAAGATTTACGCTTTCAATTCCCCATTAGTGGAATTCAAATTTAAGACAGTCTAACAAAAAGAGGCGAGTTTACTTACCGCCTCGAAATTTGTGATGCCAATACTGCTTGAGCTGTCAACTAAAAAGAGTAGGTCAATTGGAGGAAGCTGTCGAGCAGGATGATTTGCTGGGAGGTGACCTGAAAAATATTCGATTAAAGAGTGAATGAGAGGCAAAGTAAAAATGGCTCGGGTAATTCTTATAAAACCAGCCGCCAACGGGAGAACAAACCTCCTCTGGCTACGTAACCGGAGTCGTCAGTCGCTGCATCACTGCTGTCCTCTTCGGAAATTGTATGCGGAATTGAGTTTTGCCAGGCTACTGTAAAAGAATTCAGATCTGACAAATACCCAGGGGAATTCTCGTCATGTTTGAGTTTGTTTTCAAATTCTTCTCGAAGTGGTAAAAAATTTTTGTGTGTTTCTCCCCCGTTCTTAAATTTCTAACAACTTTTGCTCTAAAAAAAACATCCCTAGTAGCCGTCGGTAATATGTAGGAAGTAGGTGTCCGGACTGATAGAATGGGCAATGCAGAAACTACCTTTCAATGTAGGCTCAGACTTTAGACGTTTGGGTAAAGTCAGCCACAAAGTGTTCAGAACAGAGCGAAGGAAATGCAATAAGAACTGATAAAGTAAAAACTGCTACAAAGTAGATTGTCGCTAGAATTCGGACACTAATCGATGTAAATCAAAAATATCAAATCTCGCCCTTATTCTTTCTTCAACCCTTCCGCTACTTTCAAAGGTTGGTTAGTGGTCAACCCTAGAAAACTACGGGGCATAGTGCAAGTAGGTGCATTGAAAATAGCCTTTCAAACAGTTCAATATCCTTTCCAGAAATTGTAATATTTTCAGGAAAATCTGGATGAACTAAGAACTAACACTGTTCATCGGATGATTTACTGAGGTCTGTATGTTCAGGACCTCCTTGCTCATTCGGCTTTCTTGCATTGACGAGCGATTCTTCAAGTTTGTCGAGGCGAAGCTTCAATTCCTCGTCTGAAACCTCTTCCATGACTTTAAGACCTTTGAATCAAGCAGCCCACTTACCGCTCTTGCTCATATGTCCATCGTTTTCTCCCGAATTCAGATCACCACCTACCACGGACTGTGTACCGGCATCGCTTCTGTTGTTAAAACTGTGCTCAACAAATCTCTGTAACAAAAACGAAACTCTAGCGACCTTTTAGCCAGCGATCTTTCGTAACTTACCCCTGGGCCATTCCCTTGCATTATGAATGGAGAATCTCTCACAGCCAAATCTGGATTCGCCGGTTGCTGGGAAACGGCTAAATAGAGCAGATCGTAAAGAAGTACGACGAAATTCAGAGAGCATCGTACATTTTCAAGTTATAGGGTATTCAGATGGAAAAAGAGATTGATCAGTGAAAAACGAACTAACGAAGTCATAGAATCCCACAGGCGAGACCTAGCCTAGTGGTTTTGAGCACTTCAGTTAAATCCGATAATCCTACTCAACTCGATCATTTATTTATTCATCACCCTAAGAAAGCTCAAATTCAACGAGCTTTTTTAGTAGTGTAAACGAACACCCGATGCAGACTTGTAGCGAACGGAAGCCGTAAACTCAATCAAACTTCGTTCGTATGGGTCAAGTTCATTGGTCAAAGTGTCCGTAGCGAAAATGTTGAATGCTACGAGTTCTTCGTCAAATTGTACGCCACCACATACTGATCGGATTGCAGAAGAGTGTTACTGTAGAGGTGGGCGACTAACAATGAGAGCATTGCCAGTTTTGGCTTTTTATTCACCCCATTTACCCCATTTACATGTCGCATCCCATTCAATACTTTAGAACAATGCCTTGGTTGACAAAATTACTATCACATGTATCAAAGGCCTGTTTTTTTTGTGAAGACATTTCCAGTTATCGCAGTTCCCATGCCGATGTTCTGAAGTATTCCGTTTAGACAGCCCATTCGCTATAAATTCAGAAAGACTTCAGCCCAGGCTAGAGTTTCTACTCGCAAATATTAACCTTTTCTCGAAAAGTCTTTACCAGAGCGTTTTTGAAATTCACTATGGTATTTCTTGGATTAACCTGAGTTGGAAGCAAGATATGGTAAAATAATTGGTTGGGCCTGGACGACTGACGATGGCGGGGCAGATAAGAGATGCTGCTGTTGCTGCCGTTGAAATTCCGCTTGTTGCGCCTGAAACTTAGAATACAATCTCTATGGTCTGAGAGCAAGATGAGCGGAGCATGTGAGCAGAGAAGTGGCTTCTGAATCCACTTCATTACAAGATACCATTCAATACAGTCTTACAGGAACTAGCCCTTCTGTGTCCCCCAGAACAACTGTTAGAAATCAAAGACCAGTCTGGTACAGTTGGGACTGACCTGCATGGACTCATTTTGTTTCCTGAGCTCTTCTGCATGTTTCTCACTGGCTTTGATGTGCTCTTCCATCTGGGAGTGTAGCTTCGCTGTGAAGAACTCATTCTGTGTTCTGAGCGCTTTCTCCATTTCTTTCAATTTCACTTCGAGGGTCCGCCCTAAACTCTAATAGACAAAGTGATAAACTAGAAAAAATAACCACAGTGACTTTGGGCAACGAGTCTTTAACCCGAATGCACACCACCCAGCACGACAGCTGAGGCATGGCTTAGACTTTTTGGCTTTTTTGGCAGACCAACCAAGATCGGCTTTATAGCTGACTGACCCTTCATGGCCGATTCTTCATAACAACAAAAGAGCGACGGATGTTTATAAAGTTTAAGTTATGGGATTTACAGAACAGCTTTTACCGACGATACCTACGACGTACTACCTACCTACGACGTCCTTATCTTTATTTCTCATACCGTCACAGAGGCATCGGTGAAATGGAAGTCTACTAAATTTAACAAATCTACTTGGTTGATTACCATTTAGAACCGCAAAACTACAGTCCTAAAACCCCTAGGAAAGGCCTACAGCAGTCAACTGTCTGAACTAGAGCATTACTTTCTGTGAACGTCTATGTTGTGTGAAGCAGCGAACCAAATCTCTAGGTTACAGAACGCTTAGTTTGCTGGCCCGATAGAGCGCTCGTGTGATAGTAGCACCTCTAGTGACTTAGGGGTCCTGCCCCTTACAACTTTTTGTTGGAAATCAAAAAGGTAGAAAAGTGGATACAAGCGGATTCTCAAATTGGCGTTGTTGCCAAATCGTGAAGAGAACCACAATAAACCACTCCCAAGGAAGTGCCACGCTTTTGTTCTATATTCGGAAGAGCGTTACTATTTTGATGCTAATTCAGACTGTACAAAGGCTCAAGGAATGGAATGGGGTGATGAGTAGTCTTTGTGACCCGTCTACTGGATCTTACCAATTACACAGTTCCCGGATAGTGGGGATAGGGTCATTTGTTATTACATTTCCGTTTTGACGGGGTAACTGCAACTCAAGACGGAGGTGGTATAACGGCAAGTGGCGCACTATCTTACAAGCATGGCCACATGTTCAAATGCCAGATCGATACCCGCCTAGGCCAAATAAGCCTTCCACCCCTCCGGTGCCAGTCAACTGGTACCAGACTTGTCTGGGAAGATGAAAGGACTTCAACTTGTAAAGCGGCTGTCCTTCGCAATTCATTGTATCGGCCACGTACGCATTCAATACGCCTCTACTGTTCTGAGTGGGAGTCGAATGCTTGGGCGCATTCCACTAACGGGATTAATTAGTGCCCAAAATTTTTATCCTCTACCCTTTAACTGTAACTCACCTTCTTTCCAGTACGCATAAACAGCATATCCAAGCACAAGTATGGTCAATAAGAGTATTGCTAGCAGAATACAAGTTACTAGCCAGCATGTGGAACCAAAAGCTGCAACTTTGGGACCACCTGAAAGTATTCGTTCAGATGAAGCGATGTGTCAAACGAGAAGTTTCTTAAAGCCCTAACATCTGTATCTGAGAGCCAAATAAAGTAAAATGGATAGTTGCGAAAAAATTTCAGGACCAGACAAAGCACTAGTAGTATGTCTGACAAATTCTACAACACCTCACCCTCAACTTCCCATTTGTACAGCTCTCTACTCCTTTGAAAAAAGAGGAAGAATTGTAAACTTCTTCTTGTTCTTCACATTTCATTTTGCAAGCAAGAGAAAAGATAGAAGGTTTCATCAAAAAGAGTTCTGGAAGTATGGGTGCCATTTCGCTTCAAACACTTACATTTCGTAGTCCAAGAAACAGTATCAAGTTCATCGTGATGAGTACATTTGGTGACGTTCCAGTTCAAATAATTCCACCATCCAAGATCGGCGATCGACATCCTTTTCAAGTGGTGGCTGAGTGCACAACACTCTGAGGGCCAACCCGGCGGCTGATGCCATGGAGACTAGCGACCAGTGCCCACAAAAATTCCATCCCGCTTTTGGGAAAGAAATCTATACGAACTACTTTCGAAACACTATCGAATAATTTCAACAGTCCTGCAGTGTTAGGAATTTGCCCTGATCAACGTGATACGATCCTCCTGGGATGCGCCAGCCCTTTGACTTCTACTCGTATTTGTAGTCTAGTGACGCCTACTCGTATTTGAAGTCTAGTAAATAACATGAACTTTCGTTGAGTATCAGAAGTCTACCGTGAAAACCAGCAGGGCAGCGTTTGGAATGAGAAGTAGTTAGTGTTGTTCATATCCGCTTCAGACGCGAACGTCCCGAAAACGCGAACACGAATGGTACAATGACTTATAGTGGCCAGGGGATGTGCAAGTCACTGTATGGGCCCCATTGCTTTCGTTCTTTCAAGGGTATTTATTTATCGATATTTACCATCCTACATGAGCCTTTTGCACACGTAATAGACCTAAACCTAAGCCTAAACCTAAGCCTAAGGGAGAATGATACCGAAATTGATTTTCCAAGCTGTTGTGAAGGTGAATTTGAAAAAATGGAAAACAGTACTGATCCTAAGGCTCGTTACGATACTGCTCAATATTACTCCCTGTCCTCCTTCGTACAGATGTTTTGGCTCACAAGGCTGACGATTTATGGACAAAACTGCAGTCTCGGAAGGGACTTGAACCCGTACTTGTGCTTTCCTGGCACGATGTACTATCCCGCACACTATCGGCTCAACACGTTGTACGAATGAGCGTTGATAAGCTACGGCATATAAGCCATTAGAAGGCGAGGGCAGGTGTGATCTTGGTAGTGTAGGGGATAGAGCGGATAGAGCACGGTACCCGGAAAGCACAAGCACGGGTTCGGGTCCCGTCCGAGACTGAAGTTTCGTCCATAAATGGCCAACCTTAGAAAAACACTGTAAAAGTTCGAATCTTAACCGAATCTCTGTTACCTAAGACTCCCTCTAAAAGTTCTTCTAACTCACACAAATAGCTCTTTCTGCAATGTAAAAAAAAACTCTACCTCCAACGAATGACTCCACTGTCTCACATAGTGGCAGTACAAGTCGCTCCAAAGCAGAAAAATCGACAGCGTTCAGATTAATTGACGTCGCTGACGGTTCGAAACGCTTCTCATCTGGAGAGGTACCACCAACAATAATGTAGAAGATGTGTAAAGGTGATTTCGGTGAGAGCAGTGTCTCCTGTGGTAGCTGAAATCGAAAAACGTATAGAAAGGAAAAAGAATGCTGGTATTTCAAACTTCACATGTGCTTGTCTTACCTTTTCAGGAATCCTGTATTTTGAGGTGGATATGACCACCACTACATCTGGTACCCACTTTCGATTTCCCGTCCTTAAGGCTTCACCAGCAAGGGAATTAATGCTGGCTCTAGGATTACATCGAGTCGGGTCAGACAACACGTCACATGGTGAAAATTGTACCTGCTAAAAACAAAGAAAATTCTTTTTTGATCCTAAATATCTTATATTTATAATCTCATATAAATGTTATGACACACATCTGACCTCTACGGCTTGACGAGCTCCCGCATTATTTTTGACTTTGTCTAACCCGAACTCTTGCCTTCCTCTGGGAGTGAATTGCGCGAGACTCAAATGAACCCCGTCTTCCGATATCTTCATTTTGGACAGCGTCTAAAAAGACCAATTTTTCGTTATCGTCAGGCTGGAAAGGATGAGAACAAAGAGAATCAACGGGAAAGTTCTCGACGTTGATCAGTCCTGTTGCGGTATGTACCCATATTCTATTCTCGTTTAAAACTGAAAGCAAGTCTAAATAATTTCGAAAATGCGACGTAGAAGGGGGGAATGGCCTGGTTGGACTATTCGCACCATCTCCTCCCCAAATCCCCAATTTGAGCCTATTCCAGATGCAAGGCTTTCTGTGTGAGCAATCCGAGCAGAACGTAAAAACTAAAAACCCTAATGGACAGTACTCAGACTAAACTTTAGCTTTCTTTCCCAACAATTATTTGAAATGTGTGCAGAATTCTATTAATGATAAGCAAACCTGGGTAACAAATGATATCTCCTTCTGGAACTGGAAGTGATCAAGGCTCATGGTTCCGTCAAGAATAAACAAAACATCTGATGAAGGCCACATGCAAGCTGTCGACTTTGCAATAAATATACATAAGGTCAGCGTTTTCTGAAATGACTAAATATTTGGTAGAACTTCCCGAGCAGTGCGGAATTCATGGTTTGCCTACCAATTGGATTTCCATCTCCCTATTCTGTGTCGTTTCCTCGATCAACTGCACGGTGTCGAATCATCTAGGTCTCACATAATTACAAGGCTAACATAAAAACGGAGAGTTTGACGGCGCACAAGACGTAATCCATTTCTGATATGTTCGACTTAAAATTGATCCATTTCTTGGATGTTTGACTTCAAATTGATTCAAAACTTGTCAGAAAGTAAAAGTTCACTATGAAGTATTTTTTTCAAATAAAAAACATACAAATACTCAGTAATGTAATTCAAACGGCGATCAGTGAATTTCGTGGGCCACGATGGTGTAGTGCCAGTTGGTGCACTTTCACCCATGCATGATACCGAGATCGCATCGTGGATAAACTCACTCAGGCATTTTGATGCTCCCTCCTTCGAGGTTGGTAAATCGGTACCAGATTCGTTTGGGAGATAAAAGCATTGACCTTACACCAGATGACCACCTCAAGCCGTAAAGCCCACATATGTATTCAAAACGCCACTATGGTTCTCAATGGAAGTTAAATGCGTGGCGCCTGGGATTGACCACATTGATGATTTTATATCTTACTATTTATTCTTGTTAGAAGGAAAATAGGAATCAACTTAGGAAAGTTTGAAAAAAAAANAGAAAAGGGGATGGATCATCTCCTAAAAACAAATTTACATCCCTTCTTGAGTCGGATAGGAACTGGACTCGTAGTGGGAAGATACGTTGCATTAAGCTCCTCCTAGGCTTTCTCATAGTACAAAGACGGTCACAACTTCCTGAACCCACTTTTTTTGCAGTTTTTTCCAAAATCTCGACCATGAAAGAAGGCTGTAGTCTATTATGTGCAGAACTGCTTTTATCATTATACAAAAATCTAACATTTCTATTTCAAAAGCAACCGTACACAACTTCCAGTTGCCGTTTATATATCGAAGGTAATTACTCTTAAATCGTCCGACATTTCAACTTTTCCACTGATTTCTAATTGAAAGTAGATCAGGGAGGATAGTATGAACAAGACTCAGTCTTTTAACAGCCTCTCATTACCAGAACGATTCTTCTTCTACTGCGGGATAAGAAATTATGGAAATTTGCGAGGTAAACTGAGCAAACGGTTGGATGAAACATAAACTACGATAAAGTGAAAACATGGGGCAGAAATCAAAAAAAAANAAAAAAAAAATCAGTCCATCTTACAAGGCAGAGAGAACGGAGGCATCACATAAGCATCTAAAACTTGTATGGAAATTAATAAGCTGTTGTAAAAGCCGATTAGTACGAAAAGAAAGTCAAAAAGGTGAAGCTGGTGAGTGAATAAGTCATGACGGCTGAAAACGTCCATACGCTGGACGTTCGTTGGTAACTAAGGTCTCCGCACACAAACAGCTCATCCTAGCTTCATAGCAGTGTATTGGTGATTGGTTCAACTCGCATATTTGGGAGTACGCCAAAAGGTGCCCCGAGAGAAGTAAGTCCTAACCCCCATCATATTACTAGTGATGTTCAAAGAGGACTGGGAAACCCACTGTATTGGCGATGAATCCGGTGTAACGTCAAATAATGAGAAGCTTCACTGGAAGGCCAACTATCATTCCCATTCTGCTAATAGAACCCAGGTATGTATAGCATCTCATCCACTTTCGCTTTCCAAGCCTTTCGGAATGCCACGTTGTCAAATGCCGTAATACATCAACTCTCGAAGAAAGTGGGTATAGGGGATTTTTATTACTACGGTAGCAAAGTGCATCGGTTTTGATTCTCCTCGACGTTTTTCTAGCAATGCGGTAAATACGACATCATCCGAATTCTGTCTTGTTGTTTAGACACTGCGAAACACCAGAACTGCTCATTCACTTCATTGAAGACTGTTTAATTAACAGATGAGTAAGCGGTGTCTGCGATGGTACCGACATGAACTGAGAAGGCTACAGAATCATCCGATACCAAAGACATTGAAATTCGGTCTTCAAGGTAAGCTTCCACGAGGGCCCCTACTTGATACCGGGAGTGGTGCAGTAGGAACGAAATGGTCGCGTCGCGGCAAGAGAGGCCGCGTGCGAAGGAATGTAGCAGGATGTAGCAGCAAGTAAGATATGCAGGAACAAAGGAAATAACAGTAGAATCATGCCTAAAGTAATAATCGCATAGCGATTGAGCTGTATGAAGAACGCTAGAAATGTAATAATAGAGCAAACGGCCCGCGACACCCGCGTACGGTGTATCGATTACACAAAACCGTTCCTACCGCCCTTATCCCCTTGATACCCCTTCAATAAGACTCCACTAAAAATAGCCGTTCAAAACCCAATTTTCCCAGAATTTGTGACTATTTCCCCGTACACTTTCAATATAATGGCAGTGGTAAACCTGCTCACGTGGAAACCAGATATACCATGATCTTCGATTCCTCCCGATGTTTGCCTTCATTTCAATGGAATTAAACGGCTAAACCTTCAAGCACTTAAACATCACCTGCGAATACAACAGTATCGTGAATGACTTCAATAGGAAACTTCGTTGTCTCTGTTTGAAAAGTATGTTAAGAATGGATTTGGATAGAGCATAAAATTGTGATCAAGGTGATAATCCTAATGGCAGAATATCAACAATCCTATATGGAGGCAATGCATTGAATGGTTGTTCTAATGGTTTGCTAGATCTTTCAAGCGGTGCAATTCATGGAAATCGGGTAGTTTTGCTTCAACTAAGAGTCTCATTTGGAGTGGTACAAGAACCACATCAAATTAACCAAAGGTATTGATGAATCCTCATTTTTGAGCTTCGGGTGAGTTTCAGTTATTGAACATTTCACAGTTGCTTCCACTGTCAATCAATCGGGGTCCTTTCCAGACGACTTGGCTATGATGTGGTCCGACAAGGGGCACGATTGAAAAATTTTTACTGATTCCTATGAGAACGTCTAAATGGTTGATCAGAATTGCGTAATCAAGGAAGAGCGGGTGTGTCCCTGAGGAAACTAGATCTTCTGAAGTCGCGATTTGTAGAAATACCCTCGTTAACTACCGTCTTGCCATAACCGTTGCGGTCCGTCATGATGCGTGTTGTTCTCTGAAAAATGATATCGTCTCCAAATGAATCGTCTCCAAATAGACCATTGAGCTATTCGACCCTTTACTACGGGCCACCATTACCCATGCTCTTCGCGAATGCCTTGATTGTATTGACTATCAGCAACGACTCCTATTCATTCGCCGAAAACGTATTTCAGAGCTGTTATAAACCGTGTTTTTCATGATGACCTGAGGGATTTCAATTATTTCATGACAGTCATAGATTTTATAGATGTATAGAGACTGCATAGATTTATTCACATTATTATATAAACAATCAGATTACATCATCAAATAAAGGATCATGCCTAAAGGCACCATAATATCACTGAACAAAATCCAGCCATTTCAAAAGAGTAACAACTGAACTCTACGGAAATCGTGCAATCCCACTGTATATTATTCCCTAAGTGTATCTGTCAGTTTGTCGGCGTTTCTGACCAACAACTCATAACTTCCTTACGGTTACGCTCCCTCTGTCGACAAACGAGCCTTGCCACCTCGTTGAGTTATGTGGGATGTTACGGGGTCGTGTACGCTCGGTAGCAGGGACTGATAACAACTGACAAATTTTGATAAGTAGCCACAGAAGAAAAGAGTAACAAATCCTGTGATGCTCTTCGCGCTAACAGCGGAACCTTGGCACCTTGGTGGGGGATGTGTCGGGATAGAAACCTAGGTGAATAATACTGATAACAACGGATAAGAGTTGGAAATCGCCTTTAGATCACTTCCTATATTCATACAGCAGTGGCGCACTGCTAGCATAAAGTGATAACAACTGATAAAGGCCGATAAGGAACCTGAAAGGAATCGTGTTCCCGACCCGTCTGGTACGTACCCCTCTGATATGTGGCATTTTGATAATGTATAGTTAATAGGGTAAGACGGAATGACAGCGTATGTTGACAAAAAAAGTGATAACTGCAGTAATTAGACCCGATCAAAGTCAGTAAAGTATAATGATGAGATAAGCCCGATCTATTGCTTGCTACCAGGTTACCAAGACCATGTCTCAAGGTTTGCCTCAATAAGAAACCATATATTCTTTGAATTTTGATGTCAATTGACCCAAAACTAGTCCGACTAGCGATAATCTGAAACTTAGCCAGTCATTCGTATACAGAAAAAGGGTTATGGATACCGACTTCCGATGGTGTTGTTACCATCATTTGACAACAGTCGCAGGTATAATTCAAATCAGAGTGCTCAGCTAAGGAGGTGCTCCAATAGACTAATGGATGGTTATCGTTCAGACGAAGAGCAAAAGATGGAGGAGGGGCAGCTCTTCAAAGTATAAGCGAAAGACGTATGCGTCTCCGCGGAATATGTGCTACCTACGTATGTGTAGTTGTAGTAATTGGGAGAATTCCCCTTCGTATATTTGGGGTTAGAAATGGGTCATATGTTCCGAAAAAAGGATCGGCGAGTCAAGCCCGGATTCCCATTTTGTGAAAGGAGGGTGATTCAATAAAACGATAAAGATGTATATATAAAGCTATATGCATGCATTTAAAAAGAAATACTTGAACGGAGTACCTAAGAAATGCCAAAAATAAAGCAAAATATCAAGTACCGTAGAAACTTTTTAAGCTAACATATTACTCTTCTGATACCGTCGAAATCTTATTTGCCCGCTCGTGCAACTCCCTATTGGTAGGTCTGATGATGCCATACTTTTCAGCAGCTGCGAGAGCTCTTCTCGCCTAAATTTCAGAATCAACATTTGCAAATTAAGATGCCTCAGGATCTCACCA